CGCGAATTCACTGTTGTTAGCCAAAGGTAATAGTAGCATGGTGGTACCGGTGCAGTTGGCCGAAAAACGAGAACGGACTACCTACTACCCAATAACCTGTTCAGTACGGCTAACTTGGTCGTGAAAAGCAATCCCCACACCCACAAACGGCATCTGCTGGTTGGAGTATAAATTAATACAACTGCAAAAACAGGCTGTATTACGTATAGAATGAGTATGAGACGTTCCGCAAAGCAGGCATACCACACTGGCCTACAGCAGAAGCGCAGTGCTTCCTTCATTATCGCCTGTAACCTAGGAGTTGTTATGCCGCTGCTACGAACACGCCTCAAAAGACAAAACGGTATAAGTTACATTTAGGGTCCACTATAGCACGCGAAAACCCCATTCTTCTGTAATACGGGACCAGTGGTAATAGGGATTAAATTGGTGGGGTATATCAGGGGAAATAATTTAAAAAGCAGAGCGCATAAAATAATACTAACAATTTTTTAAACAACCAAATATCTGCGTAAGATAATTAAAATGAGAAATACGAAGCAGGAAGGCCCAATGGTGACCAATTGGACACAATCATCGACTCTATATCAACTCTATGTCTATGTAGATTAAAAGTTGGCGTTTTCCCCATTTTTAAAATTACAATAGCTTCTAAGACAAAAAGCAACTGCAGGTCACCAAAAAAGGAGACAAAGATGAACTAAAACAAAACTAAATAAAACAGAATAAACGAAAAAGCAAATAAAAGAAACACTAAACGCAAGCTAAGACCACAATTCGGAATTAATTACTAAGATTGTCGTGGGGGAAAGTGTGCTATTGCGGATAGACGATGACATGTTATATGCGGAAGGAAACAGTCGATGCAAAATTAATAAAACAAAGCATGTCTACTGCTAAGAAGTAAGTAGATGGGTATGCGAAAAATCAGCCGTAGTGGGCCCTAAAAGTAACTGTGACCGAAAAACCAGTGGTTAGACACTTTTTGTGACGTTAGTATTGATACCAAAGGGATTTATTCATACGACGAACTAAACATCAAGGTTCTTAGCTAATCAGTATCGACTTCTGGGTAAGATATACGACTTTATATTTTTAGATGGTCGGTAGAAAGTAGGAAGCAAGAAGTGCGAAATTTCTATATAAAATAGGAACCGCGTTTGCCACATTGAGGCCCATGATATCTTTGAAAGGAATGCAC